AAACGGGGTTTGAACGATCTAGGGTTGATCAATCACTATTTTACTATAAATGCAAGTCTTTCATTGGTGGAGAGGTTGCAATGACGTCATTAACCAACCCTGGGTCGTTCAAATCCTGTATAATCGAAAACGCTATCAGTCTTCTCTCTGGTTATGCAAGTTTTATCTGAATATATCCAAATTTTCTTCATTCTAACCTGAACTGTCTCTAGCATGAGCGGGAAAGGTTATACTAATTTCGAATAGCACACGCAAGTGCAGGTGGTGTAAGTTTTCTTCTCATTACGCCTTTGAAAAAATTAATTTAACGTATTAAAGATATCGTAACAGGTAAAATCACTCGATAAAATGAGTAAAAGGTTAAAACTGGGTGTTCTCTCAACACCGAGAACTTTACGTTCTGGAAAAACCTTCGTTACCGCGGACTCCTCGGAAAAGACGTCGCCTTTCTTTGCCGAAGAGAAAAAATCAACAATAAAGACCGGTACAAAGAAACGTGCACCGGTTAAAGTTAAGTACGAGGCGCCAGAGGAGAAAGCAAACATTAAAAATATTAATGTAAAATCAATTGTTGAGATAAAAAGCCAGAATGTAGAGGAATTAGACGTAAAAAGTATAAAAACCGAAGAATGTCAGATGAAGGATAAGAATGCAAAACAACCAGTCAATTCAAAAAAGGTCAAGGAGGAGGAACGGTGGATGCCACCAAATTGGGAAACAATTTTAGAAAACATTAAAGAGATGAGGAAGTATGAGACAGCTCCAGTTGATGAAATGGGTTGTCACAAATGTACAGATCCTGATGCCAGTCCATCAGTATCCAGATATCAATCATTAATAGCACTGATGTTAAGTAGTCAAACAAAGGACCAAGTTACACATGCTGCTATGCAGCGTCTGAATAAACATGGTTGTAGACCAGATATAATAGCAGAAACTCATGATGATGTTTTGGGTAAACTTATATATCCTGTTGGATTTTGGAAGGTATGGGCCTTTGTTTATTTATTTATTAGACATTATTTAGAATTCAATTTTTTCTCTTAAATTTTTTAATATATATAAGTAAACTAATTTATTAATTTATTAACTATATTGTAATAATATGTTGAATTATTAAATAATCATTATCATATTTAATATAAATTTAATTTTATACTTAAAGTTACTAATTTTATGTTTAAAAAACATGTATTTTTCTTTTTTTAGAGGAAGGTGGAATACATAAAAAAGACATCAGTTATTCTTCTAAATAAATATGGCGGTGATATTCCAAAAACAATAAAAGAATTGTGCGAGCTGCCAGGAGTAGGCCCTAAGATGAGTCATATATGCATGCAGATTGCATGGGGAGAAGTATCCGGTATCGGTGTAGATACACATGTTCACAGAATTTGTAACAGATTAGAATGGGTAAGAAAACCAACTAAAACACCAGAAGAAACAAGAAACGAGCTAGAAGATTGGCTTCCTAAGCCCCTATGGAGTAAAGTGAATCACCTTCTTGTAGGATTTGGTCAAGAAATTTGCTTACCTCGATTTCCTAAATGTTCTGAGTGCCTCAACAAGAATATTTGTCCATATGCCTCAAAAAATAGTGGGAAGATGAAGAAGTGATACATGCCATATTTATATACATATATATATATATATATATATAATAAAAATTTATTACAAAACATATTTATTTAAAATTTAATCAATAAATGTCAAATGTTCTAATGTGCTGGTTTCTTTTTATTTCGCTTACCACTTTTATGTGCTAACTTTTGAGCTTTGTGTAATTTTTGTTTACTCCGTTTTTTATTTTTCTGTTGTTCAAGTCTCTGCTTTTGTTGAAATGCTTTACTCTTTTTAACTTGTTTCAATGCTATTTTCCTCATTTCTCGTTTCAATTCCTTTGAAGATTTTATCTCTTGATGGTTAGATTTAGAATCTGGTGCAATGTCCTTTGCAACAATTTGTTTCTTTTGCAATGACATGCCCACAATTTCATCTTTATCATCATTAGAATGTTCACTTTCATCATTCTCTTGTTCTTCTTCTTTTTCCTCTGCAATTTTATTTTGACCTATCCATGCACTTCCTTCCTTGAGATCTGCAATATTCAACTCCAAAATACTAACTGTATGATCCTGCAGCTTATATTCTTGTCTAGATAACAATTCTTCTATTTCTGGAATATTTTGCTGCGATAATGATTTTTTATAACGTTCTCGTACCTGTACAAATATACATACATATACTTTCAGCAATTCTCTAAAAAATGCAGTTCTTTCAAGTAATCACATTATTTACCTCTTGTTTAATTTTCTTTCGTTCTTCTTTCAACTGTTGTTGCAATTGTTCCTGAGCTTTCCTTTTTCGTTCTAGCTTTCTTTTACGAAATCCTCCTAAAAATTCTCTACATTTGCATAAATATAGTTTACTTGTAATAATTACAAAAACATCTAATTTCTAGAAATAATTACCGCCGCTTTTCCTCGTCGAAGACAAGTGTAATCTTTTTTCGCCTCTTCGGCTGACTGGGTTTTTTATTTACATCAAATAAACGTGGCTGAGGTTTACTAAACATTATTGCAATTGTTAAACGTTGTCACACTCACGCATTAAAAATAGGTTATATTAAAAACCATGTGCACGACCGCCATCACCGCTACCGATAATATCGCCATCTATCGCTAAGAAAATATTGAATGTATCGAAAATACTAAAGAAATGATTGACGTTATGATAACGTTACAATTATATAAAAAAAATACTTTTATTAAAATAAGAAACATAAGAATATAAGAAAATACGAGATTTTCAATTATTTTTGGTTTTTCAAGTGTCAACCAGTGTTTAAATTCAGAAATAAATAAAAAACTATTTTCTTTGAAGCTCATTCCATATGTATTTGCAGAATGAAAGATATACACGTTTTCGTCTTTACTTACTATTATAAATACATCCTTAGACATATTATTCTTTTCTATTATAAAATATGGAAAACCTAAATTGTAATATCAGCAAGATAAAATAATAAAACAAAAAAAAGAAATTACCAGCTTTAACTGCCATAATCATATGAATTTCGGATAGAAATTTCCTTTGTAAACCGTTGAGTCTTGGCCAAAGATTAGGACATTCTTGAGATTGGAGGAATGTGTCATATTAGTTGATTGACTTTGGGAACGAATCATCCTCAACTATGTGCACTCTGCTTCTTTGATATTATCTCTCTCTCTGATAGAGAGACTTATCTACAAATATGATTTATTTTTTAATATAATAACAAAGATACAAACTGTTATCAAAGTACTATCAAACAGCTATCAAAGTACAAGCTATCAAACGTAATCGACAACTGACTCGGTAATAAACAAAATCGTCAACGAAAACTTCGCGATAGACAACCGGTCGATAACCGTCGCGATGACAACGAAAAGGGGCTTTAAAATCAATAATATGTCCTTCTTAAGATAGGATAACATGCCTTCCTTAAAGTAGGATCTTAGTTAATTATAAGTAGCATTTATATTTACATATATTATGTCGATGTCGATAATGTAATAAGTGCGTAGTTCATACGATATATTTTTGGAAATATATTGCTATTTTTGTTGCATTTTTATTTATGGCAACATTTCACATAATGCTGTTAGCAACTTCACAATAACTGTAAAAAATTTAAACATGTTTTTTATATTTATATAATAAAATATAGAAGAAAATGCATATATATATATTCTATTATAAATATACGAAATATGCAAATAAACTGCTTTAATCTTTACAAAATTATTCAAGTAAATATGCAAATGTGCAAAACTTAATATTTCATACATAATCGTTATATTTTTGACCCATAAAAATATATATTTTTTAAATTCATAAACTATTGTATTTTCCAAAGATACTGTTTATTCTTTATTCTGTAATTAATATATAGCATCTTTAGTGTAGACATAATCACATTCTTATTTCAATAAAAAAAATAAGATGTGCATAAGCTTGCATTAATATATCAATCATTTCTTGGGATTTAAAAACAATGGGCAAGACTCAGAAAAAAAGCAAATGAGTCTCACTCTCAGCAGCTGAATCTCAGCCTCATAGATGTAGTATATAGCACAATAGTTGATTTATTACCAATTATGTGTATCAGAAATCTAAATTATAATTTTATATGTATGAAGAGACATCCAGAAATAGTACAAAAATGTGGCAATTACAATATCAAAATTATTTAAATGTATTTTATCTATTGTAGAATTTATCCTCTGCCTCTTCCAGATTGAGAGCCTCCTGGTTGGTTTTGTTGATTAAGCCATGGTGCTGAACCAGTACCTTTACCTCGTTGATTTTGACCCCTTCCTCTGCCACGAGCTAGAATATTATTTATTATAAACAATTATAAAAAATATAAATATTAGTTTAAAAAAATAGTATTTATATAAATATTCTTATTTCATTATTAAATGCTTTATATTTCCACATGTATCATTACCACAAAATACTAAGCTCCTGATTTTAAAAGTAAGATAAACACTTGATAAGTTTTTAAAGCAAATTAATGAAATAAAGCAAATATATTTTTCATCTAACAGAGAAATAATTAAGCTTCTTATCTATTGGTGATTCTACTTTTCATTTTCTCTGTTGTTTTTTTTTTTTATGAATATCTGTCCTTATTGAGTAACTATAATCTTAGGTTACGTTCTCTCCGAGGAAAATTTTACTCGATATAATATAATATGTATACGTTATGTGTACTATATATTTCGAGTAAAATTTTCCTTGGAAAGGATGTTTTGGAACCTAATCTTAATTACTAAACTTCGACTAATGTTCATACATTCTGAAAAAATTCTGTATGATGTAAACAAACCTTGGGCGCGCAATATAGCTGATTTTCCTCTGCCGGCAGTGCCGGACCCCTTGCCGCCCGGCCTTTTAAACATAGGGGCATTTTTAAGCATATCAGGCAATATTAAGAATCTGATCTTCGAGCCTCTTATGTACACGTTTTCCAGTGTTGCGACTCTGCCATCCCGATACGTTACGTTAATATTTTGCATCTGACAATTCATGTTATCTTCCGCTTCTATTAGCTTTCCGCGATAAACTTCTCCGGTGTTCGTTTCACATGTTATTATGTGGCCCTCGGCTTCATGAAGAACTTTAATCGGTACTCCAATCGACATTGTTGCAGAATAATACCTTTTTTTTGCTTCTTTTTAGATATTTATCGCTACTTAGAGAAATATTTAGAAAGATGCTCCTCTTAACCTTAAAAGCACTCGCATATTGCGATACACTCGCTTGTAAAATGTCACGGTTAAAACTGTTATAAGATGGGAAATGTATAAGTGAGTGTGCAATAGGGGATTGGTGTGTTCAATCGATATGTCGTAGGGATATTTAATTTTGATTTTGGTGAATTATTTTTTAAGCCTTTATTTTTTTATCTAAGGTTGTTTAACTGAATTACGATTATTCCTTCCCAAGGTTTTTTAGCAACCAATCTAGACATCGGCTGTTCAATGCATTTACATCATTCAACTTCATACATACTGGAATGAGCCTTTCTATAAGAACCAATGTGTAGTTTTCGGCCCAAAGATAGCAATAGTAGGCGGGGACGTCTGTTCTTCTTCCTGTTCCCACTTTCAAACACTAAAAATGATAGTACATTCATATATAAATGATGTACAATATAAATATATCAATGTTTTTATATTTTGTTATAGATGAGGGGACAAGTATACGGACTTTATAATTTACTAACCTATTCAGACAAATTTTAGACAGATTTAACAAAGAAATTTGCTTTAAATATTTTTTTCTGCTAAAATCTGGTTGGTTTCATCAAATCTTTGCCACTACTTTATGATTGTTCTCTTAAAACCTGTTTTTAAATACAATTATTTATTTATTTATTTTTCTATTCAATCACGAATATTATATGTACAGCATATATTTTCGGATAAAAATCAACAACCCTTTAATCGCATGTTATATATAAAATTGTTAAAATTAGAACTATTATACCATGGCAATAATATATCACGAAAAAACGTTCAATATAATTCTTAAGAAGAGCATCATATACATATAAAAATGTAAATTTTAGTTATGGTGTCATCATGTACTCAGCGTGATAAAAGATAAACCGTTTATTGCAGCAGAAATTTTCATTACAGAGAAAATAAAGTCGCATCTCGTTCAAACGTCCGCGAGAGATGTTTTTCTGTTCTTTTTGTACAGCAGCTACAATAACGCGGAGAGATGCTGATTAAATTTCTATATAAAGTAGTCGAGAGCACACAAAAAACGATTGCCGGCTTTCGTTAGGGGCGATGCATTTATATATATTTTGTTTTTAAATATACATAAATATAGTCCACTATAATTATATAAACGTTTTTAAGAACTGTTAAAAGGTCCGTAAGGGCCGGGAAGAATGGAACGAGAGGAGGAAGAAGAGTGGGCGAAAGGACAAGGGAGGGAGGAGGAAGGCGGGAAGGGGCGTACAGGAATACATTAACTTGCTTTACGTACGTGAAACCTAAATGTCTAAAGCATTTCAAAGGATGGTAATTGTAATCATATAATATATTAAAGTTGATGTTACTTTTTTAATAGCTTAAACGTACTAATATCAATCGTAATAATTACAAGCATCGTGTTACGTCCTTATATAGTCAGCCAAGTACGATCGTCGCTGATAATCTTCTTTTTGTTTCTCTCTTTCTCTCTCTCTCGCTCTCTCTCTCTTTTTCTTTCTCTCTTGTCTCCTATAAATCACTTATATTCCTTGCACGCATTCCTCTCTCTGCCTCACTTTCAATCATTTCTACCCTCCATGTACACATTTCTTCAATCACTCTCTCCCTCTTTCTCTTTTTCTCTATCATTCGATCGCTCTCGCTAGGCAAGATTATTCCGATATTGCGATACACGTTAGAAAAATATGCTATGCCTAAAATAGGATGAAGGCCTGAAGGCAACCATTCCGTCGATATTACTGATAATCGGTGTGTGTATGTATACGTGTGTATGTGGATGTGTGCGCGTTTCTTTTCTACACACGATTCTGATTTCTCTGATCAACGTTCCTAAAAGTGCGCCAAAAGAAAAAAAAAGGACAGATTCGTCTTAACGACAATCTTGATATAACAGGTGTGTATATATTGTCTATGTAATCAGCGCATAGTTGTCTTATAAAGACCGCGGAGAATCGTGCGCGAATTATTATCGTAATCATACCGAAAGATAAGAATTTTTCGACAACCTTAATTTCTAGGTATTGTTAAATCGCAAATTTTTTGAAAATTTAACTCTATGTTCAAAGAGATAAAATCGTTTTCGGCTGAAGTACTTTTGGCGGCAATACGTGAAATATTTAGTAACAATGGGAGAACTAATGCAGTATTTGCTGTTTGTTTGATCTTTTGAAAAAATAAAAATCAGCTTGATAAGCTTTGCGATATGACATTTAACAGAATGCTATATTTATCGGAAATAAAAAGACTTTGCTGTACATTTTTCCAAGTGACGCAAAAATAAATCTTAAGCAAATAACAAAAGGATATGTCTACTTTACAGGGTAAGTCCTAATTATACAAAATAAGAAATAAAAGAACGGCAGCACGCAATTTAGATGAAGTGCTTTGTCCCAGGATACGATAAAGAAAAAAAGAAAAAAATATGTTCTTTTACGCGAAATTGAAAAGTCGCAATATATATTTTATATTTTTTCCTTTTTCTTGAAAATTTAACTTGTAATAAAGCTTTTAAGGTTTGACTTCCTACGTGGAGCATAATTTGCGCTACAGAATATCATTTTCACTCATTTTCGTTTTATAAGAATACAACAAAGCTGGGCAGCTATAGCACCTTTCCACATATGCTATAACTTTACAAACATGTACAACTACTTATGGGCAAAAAAAATTTCCGGCACGAGTTTTAAGCGCGGAGAAGAAAAGTAGTCAGAAGTATGTACGTGGATTATAAAATTTATCAGCGTAATATCCTTCGCACGGTTTTAGTATACGTTCACACTTTACAAACGTTAATAGTTCTCTTCTTCGTCGTTCATATAATGCCCGGCCTCTCTAGACATTTTATTAATCATTTATTCTTACATTATGCGCTGCTATGCAGCACCGGAATACCTCGCGCAGCTATCCTACAAAACTCGCAAAACAAGCAAAAATAAGGAAAACGAGTAAACTAATTGACGATTTCAACCATTAACAATTCAGTTTATATCCTAAGAGAAATTGAAGAATGCGTTAAAGAGGGGTTTAATTTACAGATCCCAGATTTGCGGCCGTAGTGTAAATAATTATTTGCAATATAGGTTGAAACATATTTAATGAGTAATAATTGCTGGTTATATTCACGTGAAGTTGGACATAAACACACAGTACTACTTATACTTCATTGCATTATTTATGAATCAATAGACTAATATACTTAATAATTATTAGACTAATTATTAACCTAAGATTGTGATCACCCATCAACGTCAGCCATTACCTAAGCAACATTCCCTATTTTAATTTTTGTATATATAAACGAAACAGTAATGTATAAAATTTTCAAACAAATCAAAACTTCTAAAGAGATGTCCTGGACTGACTGACCGCACCAAGAGTTCTGCCTTTACGTAAAACGAGCTTCATATTCACATTTTCCATTTAAGTGTGTAAATTAATAAACATAATATAGAATAATTATAAATTGTAATAATCATGAAGATAATAATAGGTAATAATAGTAGTAAGCTGGCAGCAGTTAGTAACCAGGTATATTCTCAATTAAAATTCTCTCACTAGATGACAATCTTGAAACTTACATGGCACTGGCATCCAATTAAGAATCATTCATTCATACACACACATACAAATTTGCAATCTTTCGTTTATTTGTTCTGTTCTGATATTCGTTTCTTTTCATTTTTTTTCTACCTTTTCTCGGCGTTCAGCTACAAAACAATTTCGCTGTCGTTCTTGCGCGTTCACTCACATTCATTCTCTTCCTTTCGGTCTTGCACACTCGCTCGTTTCACCCCTCGACGTGCGAATCAGCTGCCAGATAATTTACCTCGTTTTCTTCGTGTTTTTTTTTTAATATTCTGTTTGTTTATATAGTTATAATAACCATTTTCCCAACGACTACACACTAAATAGTTCAAATTTTTTGCACTTTTTCACCAACAACAACTGGATTGTTGCGCCGAATTTCTTGAGCGCCCATTTCTTTGTAATCGAATTTGCAATCGTGCTTGTCACTGTACCGATGCACAGCGCAAAATAGTCCTCCACAACGGCACTCAAACCCTGAAAAAAATTTACCATCGTTAGAAAATTTCCAAGTTTCCATTAGATATTATGTATAATACATGTTATACATTACATTTAAACCACTCACCAGTCAAACCAACTTTTTTGCGACATACAGCACAACGGTTTTTCTTCTTCTTAGATTCTTTATCAGTCTCTTTGCCATCGAAGGAGTCGTCTACATCGCCACTACTTGCCGATGAGCCTTCAGCTACTGCACTGCTTACACTTACTTCACTTTCCTGATCTTCCCTGTTTACCTGATTGACAGAAGTACATACATACTGTAAGCATAATGGAAAATAATTATTTATCACTATAGGTTCGTTGAATTTCTTTTGTTACGTTTTAATGTAATAAGTATATATAAATTTCAATTTAATGAAATTGCGTCATAATACATATTAAAAACATTGCGAAAGTAAATGCTTAATGATTACTTTCATTATTTTCTTAGATATATAAGTTTGTTTATATTAATGTTCATGAAAATTATAAATAATACATAGCGCACGTTCCTCAGTTTGTTTTATCATAATATTATGAATAAATATTTCAATATTACATACATCACATCATTCTCTTATTGAAATATGAACAACTTGTTTTTTGTAAATAATAGAGCATAAATAATTATTATTTTATATTATAGTCCACATAATTCTAGAAGTAAAGAAAATTTTATGACACTGCAAAAAGACACTTTAAATTGTATTCATGAATATATATTAACATATTTTGCAAATTTGATCCCAACAATGTAATATTTCCTGTTCCTCTCAAAATATCTTTTATAGACTAAAAACAATTTGATGTATACGACCTTGTGGATTCAGGACAGCTTATAAGCGCTACCTTCTGCAAATTAATCGAAAGAACAAGGATGTTACATTTGTGCAAAACAACTACTAGGAAATACACAGAAATACTTACTTCTTTGGGATTGGGCAGATCCGACGTTGACTGAGGTATGGTAGGAATGGTAGGTTGGGCCGTCGTTCCTGTAGCCGCTGGGCTACCAAAACTGCTTTGCAACGTACCAGCGTTGCTGGAGACTGACTGTGAGGTTGGTACAGTGGCAGCTGACACCGGAGGTTGTTGCTTCTTTTTCAGATTTTCTTTATAGCAAAGAGAACAAAGGCCTTCAGTAGCTGGCGAGCCATAAAATCCACAGCCACTGCGGCACAGAGCTTGCATAGAATTAGATTCTCGTTCCATAATGCTTGTCTTTCAGTGTCACTCTTCCTTAAATAAGGAGGCTCCCGTTTATATCTTAGTTGCGATCACTGCCTTGAGAAACAGTGGAAAGTCGCAGTCAGCTTGGTACAGGATAACTAGGTGTCCTTTGCTGCAGCTCTCTTCCCAATTGCTCCTCTACAACCGTGTGTCACCATGTACTCACCTGTCACAAAATAAATTATGCAATTAATAACAGAGAACAAAATAAAACACTAATTACATAAAAATATTTGAGATAACTGTATAGTTTAAATAGATAATATAAAGTATAACAGTTTTAAAATATTAAAATTTGATTAATACACGTTATCATGAGTTTATCGACAAAAGTAAACATAATTCTTATAACATGTATTTAAATATAGAATTTTTTCATCTTTTAACTACATATTGACAGGCACGGAGTAGCAATGCATATCATTTTGAGAAAAGCAGAATATAGAATATGTTATGGATGCTAACATTCATCAAGGACAAAAATGACACAGCAAATTAATACAAAATCACAAAGAATAGTATCGTAAGTTATAAAATCAAAAGAGTTATAGTACTATGTAAATTTATTCACAAAATATTTGACACATTATCATTCCTGACACGAAAAAAATAAATAGATAATACAGTTATCCTCGCCATCTGCCTACGTAAAAACAAAACCATACAAAAGTATATAAAAGTATAAAAAAAAACTCTAAGAAAGTCGTATTATAAAGCGCAATATCTGAATTGAAAAAAAAATAAGCTAACCTTTGAAGTTGGACAATTAGGTCTCAAGTAGCACAAAAAATAAGTTTACCAACAATTTGTAATTTCCTGCACTAGTCAAACTTGGACCTGCAAGGTCAGATCACAAATGTCTTCTTAATGAAGCGTGTCCTGCGTGTGGTCACGCCAAGACAATAATCGAATTTCAACTTAAATGAAAGAAGAAAGAGGCAAAGACAGAACAATGCTTCAAACCCAACCGAGACAGGTAGAGCAAAATGAAAAAAGAGAATTTGGTAGAATAGAGTAAGACAGAGCAAAGAAAAGAGAGAAATAATTCCTAAGAATTTTTACTACGTCATCTTGGCGATCTGATTTTTTTCTGCCACGATAGCCCAACGAGAGAGGCGTGATCGCGCAGCGTGATATTACTCACTTTCCAACACGCAGCCGTGTCGCAACCAATGCACAACATGGAGTAGGAATTTGTGCGAGGCATTTAAGTAGCGGCGGCCGTATCCTTATCGCGACCCGCGTACACCCCGCGCACAATAGGACCGTCGAGAGAATAATCGCCCGTGTCTCTCGCCCGTCGCGGTGGCTCGTTCTCGTTTTATAATCTCTCGCGGCGCACTTTGCGCGGTGCGCGTAATCGCGACGAAAAGCGCAGCCTTCACTGCGCGTCGCGTTTCCGTTCGGAGAACGGGCCGTGAACCAACGTCGGTGTCCGTGCTTGCGTGCGCTCGTGACTTCCCGGCCGTGGACGCGTTCGATATTACACTTCAATCCGCGGAGCCTGCAAGGACGGAGGAGAAACAACGATAACGAGGGGCGAATGTTTTCATGATGGCGATCGGCCCAGGCGCGCTGGCTTTTGGGCGGACGCGTAAGCGACGACGCGACTACGCCGACGACAAGAGGCACCGCGCGCGTGAGGCGACGCGGCACGCCGCGGCGGCGCATCAGGCACGATCGTGGACACAGAACTTAAACTCTTTCGCCGTGAACACACTCGACATAGTATACGGGGTGTTCGGGACGCGCTTTCTCCTGATTGCAAATTTCATCGGTGAGAATTTCTACGCGAAAATTTTATCGCGTCAATTTTCGTCACGATTTCGACAGTGCATTCGACTAAAATGGTTTTGAATTTCTCTTCGTGAGCGATTAATTCCAATTAAATCCAATTGAAACTACGAATTGTAAAGCAGAATATGACCACTTTTTGACATTACAACATGTGAATAAGTGATTTTAAAACGTTCTATTTATAAAACTGTGATAACAAAAGACTTAAAGATTAAATTTAGAATTTGAATATAATTTTTTTAAACTTTTAACAAATCATGGTAAGAGATAAATTTACAAATTTATGGTTTTGGTTACATGGATAAATTAAGTATATCAATATAAAATTTATACAAGTCAAGATTTATATTACTTGATCTAAGATCAATGTTATATAATTCGAAAACTGTCGGATAACAATAATTTTATTTATATTCGTATAGACAAACGGTTAAATTCTTTTTCAGGCTCTCCTTAAAGACGGAATTAAGAAGGATATTTAAAAATTGCTAGTTAGGTCATCGATCTGTTTTATTATTAGCTTGATTCTAATTAAGAACGGAATAAGACACTATTTGAATATGACAAATTCATTATAATCAGAGAAATTATAAATATATTTCAATTCTTATTTATTTTTTTAGAAGAATTCAATTTATAAATCCATCAAAAGAAAATATTTTCTCTATTAATTAATTTCGCTAAAATTATGTTATATAACCGATATTGTGTCATGAACATAAATAACATTTCGCAAATGTATGATTTTTGTTAAGTTTTCTCTAAATACAACGCGTTCTAGAAACCCTGATCTAAATCTTAATGATAAATTTGATAATCAATTTAGAGAGAACTTTCGTCTTTTCAAAAATCTAAAATGTCAAGACATTAATAACTTTCAATTTATGAAAACTATCAAAGAAAATTAGGTAAACAATTACCGAAAAACTAAATTATCTTCCAGTTTGATCTTCTTATAACTTGACTAAAAATCCTCAAGATAAAGATAAAGAAAAATTCTCAAGATAAAGATAAAGAAGAATCCTCAAGATAAAGATAAAGAAAAATCCCAAAGATAAAGAGTATCTTTATTTAAATCAAATAGTATTTCCTATCGGTTACAAAGAGTCGAACGAGGGTTAAGAATTGGGTCAACCGTCTCGATCGAGAAAAAGTTATTAGAACGCATATAGGATTGTACTGAAATAGTGTTGAAAGCGTGTCTCGCGAATTTTCATCGATATTGAATAACTGGGTAAGTTAGAATTGTGCCGAATTAAAATATACTATTCTTAGTAGTGTACAGTAATGTCAATAAGAAAATAAACCTTTTTATATCAAATCTGTATATTTTATGTTTAATAAATTAATCGATAAACGTATTTTACGATTAGAAATTAGTATGAAACAATAAATATGTAAGAATATTCATTATTCAAACTCATATAATTATAAAATGTATCTCTTAATATAGAGATATATTAGAATGTAACAAAATTGATTTTATAGAACGATTTTAAACGCAACCCGAAACACAAACTTATTAAACGATTAGTAAAACATATGAAATACGTAAACATTTTCTTCTGAGTGTTTGAGTAAACGTTAGCATTAATTGCATCAGACATTAAAAAGAAAAATTTTTGTTGGGCTCTGATAAGCGTCACTTACATAAAATTAACTATCGTACTCGCGTAATCGTATGTTCATTTAATCAGAATGTTTAAAGAAAAAATCAGGATAATTTACAACCGACAATTACTTTTTTTTCCAAATAAAATACTCATAAAAAAATTGCAAAAGTTGATCAATAGGTAAATTATTAATATGCAAGATTATGAAATACACACGATAAAAAATACTATTCCTAACATTCAATAAGCGTATAATAATATTAATCATCATGCAAAAAATTCAATTTTAAGAATACAAATTTGAAAACACATTTTCTGGAAAAAAAAACTCGACCCTTGCTAAAAACCTTAACTTCGCATAACCGGAATCATTTACTTTCCACGCAATCGTTTTGTCCCTGTATTTTCGCAATAAAAATTTCACACATCGTGCATGCGAGGGCAGAATTAAAATCGTTCGCTTAAAGACTACGGAATTAAATGGAGCAGCTGCATGCACAAACGCCGCAGTAGTCAGCGGACAGCGCCGAAGTGAAGTGATAACCGAGAAAACCAGGAAGGGGCAAGAAAGGGGAAAGGAGGGGCAGAGGGCACACGCCTGTATGCGCTTTCTAGTACCACAAGGTCCGTCGATCAAACCTTCCCATAAGGTGTTTCCAATGCACACTCCTACGCGCGACGGGGAAGGGACAGGTGGCACGACGACGCGAGTTTAAATGCGGCGATCACTCCACGTTTAATTCTATCGTCCGTCGTGCCGCGCTCGTGTAATTTGCGCCGCTCTGCCACGGAAACGATATATCCTACGCCACGAGACAAACATCGCGGATGATAAACCGTGCCGAACACGCAATCTTCGAATGAGTTGCTCGCTCGCACGGATGTTAGCTTTGATATAGCAAAACGGCATACTTGAAAAAAAGTGTATAGAAAACTGATAAATGCCACGGAAACGTATTAAAACATTATATGAAAAATCATAAATATTGTATGGAAAATTATTTGTTTGTCCAAAATTTACTGCGTAAGTAAAGAACACGCGAGCAAGAATTGGCTGTTTACACAATTCACCGGAAAATAATTCCTCGAAGAATCCCCGAATTCCCCCACTTTCAACTTGTGCCTCCGCTTAATCGGGCTTTAACCCCGCTTATGCTCCTCGCCAAGCCTGATCGACAACACGATCGCGGCACGTGAAATTTTGACAGCTGCAATAGACGCGACAATATCATCAAATAGGTATAATCTAGTATAATTGAAAATTAAATGACATGTAGTTAATAATTTGTGTAGCCTGTTACTCAAAATTTGCTTTCCACACTGTCAAACTAATTGAAAATTATTGTAAACTCTTAATAAACACACGTCAATCGTTGAAAATATAGAAATGAATCGAGAATAACAATGTGATAATCAGCCTTTTCGTGCAATTAAATCTTGAGAAAACAATAGCTTCAACATTATTCTTAGATACGTCACGGTCGTCATCATTTATAAGTACCGAGCTGGTAAACTCCTCCGCCTCAATGAGGAAAGAGGCAATGCCGCAGAAGCAAGGTCGAGGCAAAGATAAGCGGGTGGCACAAAAGACAAATTAAGTTTTTTAATTACTCTATAATAATCATATAATTCTTACACAATATTTTTTTATTTTACAATTTTTGATTTAAATTTCTAATACAAAATAGCGAATAGTAATATGGATTCTGATGCAATTATCGATAGATCTATCCTCATAAATAATAAACTTTAATAATTGATATTAAACATAAATAAACATTATTATTCTTGTTATTTATTTTCTCACAAAACTGGAAATAAGGAATATAAAATTCCATAAAGACGGAGAGCGCAATCTTGTATTTTTTGCAAAAGTTAGACACAGCATGGTCAGCCTACTTCTCTCTGATTGAACAATTGCCTATATCTTGTTGACTTCATTATAAAGTGAATTGCTAAAGCATCTTTTACGAAACCCGCACATTTGACTCATGCTACGCGGACGACAATGACGCACTCGCATTTCCCGATTACTTATCTGAATGGGTTTTGTTCTCGCGAATCGACCTGCGCAAAAATACGTAGCTCAGCATTGCCTTTGTAATGCGCGAAGAAATTTCTGCCGAAGAAATTTATTGTCTGAATCATAAACTTCTTTTTGCAATAAGCCGTGAACAGCATATGCCGGTTTAAAAAAATATGTATTTTGCGTGGGTGGAAAGAAGGGGGTGTTCCACGCATGAACAAACAATAAGTCATGGTAAAGTTCACGTTGAGGCGCAATGACTCGATCTCTACGCTGCGTTCATTCATGCCGCGATCATGCTAAAACACTATTTTTCCACCATCATAAACTTTTTACCTTTCGAAAAATTCGATAATTCTTTTTCTTCAAACTCACCCTTATATGAGTGTTCATCAATGTGTTAAACGTGCAACGCGTGCGCGACCTTAACGTCGATTTTAATAAATTGGAATAAAAAGAGGATGACGTCAAGCAACGGAGGGCGAGAGCGCGTATCGATCGAAACTCGTCTAACGAACGAAGTGAGATCTTTCGCTCGGATGTGAGAACAAAGTATCCTACGGTAGCGACAAAAATTAGAAAGCTGAGAAGAAAGGTAGCGGTCAATCGAATTTTTTTCGCCGAGAGAGAAGATAAAGATCAATTTTAAATTTCTATCTGAGAAGCCGCTTGTCCAACTGAATAATTTCATTCCGAATCCGAGCTGCGTTCCGAGATGAAAGATATAAAAATTGTTCTTTGTGTGTTTAATTGGTCGCATTAACATAACCTTCGCAAAAGTTCGCAAAGAGAATATGTTCGTTCTGTGTTAATTCACATTCGTATATTTCGTGCGCGAACGTTAAAAAATAGCGCGGGTGCATCAGTCGCGAGTAAAGGCGCGGAAGGCTCTCAAAGTACATCAAAGATTCGTGAGCTTTGTTTACTCGGTGGAGTAAACGACCTTTCTCACAATGGCTGCTAACGTTGCACGGTTGTTCGACCTTCGCAAAGTCGTATCGTTCGACTCACCACCGCACCGTCGCCTTTATCGTACAGGAATATCTCGAATTTCGGAAGAGGCTCAACCACGAGTCACACAACCTTGAAACATTGCTTTATCTTTCTTTCTGGACTGCGACGGACAATCAAAATATGTGAATTTTTCAGTAAAATTTAACCTACTTTTGCGACGTGACTTCGAAATAACG